CATGTGACCATTTCAGACTGTTTAAAATTTCAGCTAATGCTTACCAAGTAAACTGTAGACAGTAGAATTCTGTCTTGGTATAACTTGAAAATTGTGTACAATCTGAAACGGTAAACAGTCAACCTGTGTTATCCCTAAAGCCTATTTCATGCCAGGATGGGTCTTGTCTGATAATTGTGGGAGCTCACAGCGACCCCATCTCTGCCTTTTTATACATTGCAGTTCACTGCTTCACAAGACACCTCTTTTCCTGCCATCTCCTTTTTTGTAGCCTTTCTCTTCTGCTAGGCAGTCAGTGGCATATTATATATTCAAAGCAGTGCACATGCTGCTAGCAATCTCACTTTTCAAAAAGGCTTGGAGACAGTTTTTAAAGCTGCTTTTTTGAATCTGCAGAAGAACCAGCTGTTGATACTAGGAGATTTGGCATTTGACTTGGTTCGGGTAGTTGGTTTTTTGATCAGTATCAAATCATTTCCTATAAACTGCTCTTTTTGTTAGGCAGATGTGACATGTTACAGTTTTTCCCAATATCCTACAAGTAGTGTCATTGTCTATTGTTGCTATCTTCAGCACAGTTTTACCAAGAGAGTGAGGGGGAAGGAGATCCTAGGTTTTTTATCTGAAGTTTTTCTCCTTACAAATGGGTTGATTTGATTACATTTTGAGGATTTAGAAGCTCACTTCTGTTTGTTCTGGATGCTGCAATACAACCTTTTTATTAGTACATGCTTATCCATTGTTACAGGGTTTTCACCTTCAGGAGATGCAAATAAGGTTCCCACTAGAGTTGCTTCATTCCCTTAGTTAGTAGAATTAAAGTAGGACAAATAATCGTAGGTTCAGCTTTATATAATATGTAAAGCACCTTGCAGCAGTGGTCTTGTCTGTCACCCAGGACATGGATTTGCTAATTTGTAGTCGGCAGTTCTGTTTTTTGTTTGTTTTCCAGAAGCTCATACTGAAATCAGTACAGTTTCAGAGAGAGGATATTCAACTATACATAAGTTGCGTATCAGGAGTTAATTTTACTAAATACTATCTTCAGATTCCTCAAATTTAAAATTCCAGGATAAATACCAAAAATCAGATTTTGTCCATGTTCTACTGCTGCCATGCTTGGAACAACTAGTGGGTGACCAGTAGTTCAAATTAAAAATATTCCTGCAAAGATAGGGGATACATCCATCATTGTAAATAAAAAAGCAAAGGCACTTCCCTCAACTGCTAGTAATCTAAAGGAAAGTTTATAATACCTATCCAGTTTATAAAGCCAGTAATTAGATGTGCCTGAGAGAATTGTTCACTGTTGTTTTTTATTGAAACGAGTTAGTTCTTTCTGGATTTTTATTCTGTAAGCAGTGTCGTCTGTCAGAAAAATGATAGTATAAATGTTGTGAGAGGCAAGGATTTTTGTGGGTGATTATCTTTTCTTTGACCAACTGCATGGCTGGGATAAAATTAGGCAAGCTTTGAAATACAAAGCATGCTTCATCAGGTTACCAATAAAGAATGATACTTTAGCAAAGAGTCAGCTACTATATATGAATTGTTTGCTCTACAACCAAGATGCGCTATGAAGATACAAATACTGAGAATATAAAGCAGCATAGGACATCCTCATTTACTGGCACCTCTGTATCGAATTATTCTGTGGAAGGCTGCATTGGAGGCATTCAAGCATCACAACTGCAGACCTCAGAAACTCCCTTGACGCTAAAATGCAGTTAAGGGAAAGATACAGAATGCAGTTAAAGGAAACATACAGGTACAGGGATGAGTAAAAGCAGTGGATGTGGCTGTGAGATTGGAGAGGGGAGAAATTCCCAGGGATAGCAGACAAACCACTAGCAGGAGAAAAGCTTGATTGATGGGAGACTTAAGATCTTTCAAAAGGGAAGAGAGTCATTACATGCAGTATGAAGGAGAAATTTGAGGAATTAGGTAGATTATAGTATGCCATGAAGTCACTATCTGTGTTCAGTGGAAGTAAGACTTTCTGCTTTTGTACCAGATTTTGCGTTTGACTGCACTTATTCAGAAGGCAGGGTATATATGCGCCTGTAGACTAACTAAGTAAAATATATAGAGAGAACACAAGGTTGTTGAACCATCATTAAATATGGTGGAGTTGTGGAGGTATAACTGGGGAAAATTTGGTTTTAAATATTTATTACCAGTGCTGACGCACAAGCTTAAAAGCACCCAGCTTGACTTACAGATGTCAGGCTGAGCTGGCAAGGCAAGAAATTAAGGGGGAAAATCTCTTTAAAACCTCTGGCAGATGTTAATACAATGGCATAATTGGGATTGGAGGATTTTTATGGCCCCAGACCAGATTATACATGGAACATTTTTATGGCTGGTTTGCCATTTTATGGTTTTTGGTTTTTTTGTTTTTAATTGGGTGACCATGTAGCACCCTTGCCATTTATGCTGTGTTTTACATATATGGCATGATTAATATGCGTGTCAAGGGCCCAAGAACAGACCGAACAGACCTGGTCTGGATGTAATGAAGATGAGGAGGACATCTTGTAATTTGAACAGAATAGTTTTCAGAGCAGAAATGGTCTAAGGGTGCATATTGAATGCTGTTGTAATTTCCTAGTGTCATCTACCTTTTTGGAAACTTTTTTTGTATTCTCAGTCCTGCAAATAATTCCTGTGAGTTCTCCAGCTCCTTGAAAGCTTGCATAACTTGTATTAAATAATAGTTGATATTCTTGTTTTCCTAAACAACAGTGATCATGAAGTTTTGGCTTATGGGTTTTGTTTTTTTGTTTTTTTTTTTAAAGAATGAAGTGAAGTAATAGTGCTATAGTCAAGTAGTGATCAACACATTATTATAAAATACCATTAAGACATGTTTGTATTTTTTTTAGCAGTGGAAATTCTTTGGAAGTTTTATGTAATTTTAATAATTAAATTTATACTAATACCTTTCTGTCTGGCATCTAAGAATAGTATGATTTAACATTAGAACTACTTGTCGCCTCTACTTACGAGTAGCTGCATCATCTAGGACAGCATCAAAAAAAATGAAGTTACTGTAATTTTTATAATCATAACATATGTAATAGTTGGGTTTTTTGGCTAAGATTTTAAATAGGTCTGGGAACCTCTATCCTTCTATGTGTTCAAATTGTTGGTCTCAGACTCAGTGTAACTGGTTTATTAAAGAAATTATAAATTAAGATTAAGCATTTGTAAAAATTATGTGTAAAATGTTGAAATGATTGAAACTTGAGAACATAGACCTTTCTGGACACCTGTGTTGAAAAGGGCAAATTTGACTCAGCCTAATTTCCCTGGTCCTCCTGAGCTAAAATATTCTTAATTAGTGATGGGTTATTAAATGAGGAGCTTTGTAAATTAGATACTAGTTGTTCTGACTGACTGGTTATTTTCATTGACACCAGGTGGGGAAAGAAAACAATTGATGTTCAGGGTGATATCCCTGCTTTGTAATGACATTGTCACCTCTGCTCTGTCAGCTTCAAATGTCTTTTGTCTCCAGCAGTAGTAGTAGCTCATCAGCGTTTTTAGTTCAGGACTTTCTGTTCCTTTGTATCTAGACCAGAGTTCTAGAAGTACGATTTATGAAGTTGTTTCCGAGGAAAGCTTTTTATTATTGTGTGAAAGGGGAAGTACATGTTGAGTAACAAATCTTAGGTATTTAAATATTTATAATGACAAAAGAATTTACTTTTAACTTAAAAAATATTTTCACTTCCAGTTTGATAAATGATATATGGACTATCAACTACGTATTCTTTGAAAAATTCTGCCCTCTTTGGGCAGAAGGCACACCTCTTTAAAATGAACAATTTAGTTTTGGTTACTGAGATCATATTACATGAGATTAAAGAATGCAGAAGCTTTTTGAAATCCTTTTACTAGTGGTAACATTTCTATTTTCTAGAATAATAGGGCTTCAGTTTGAAACCCAAGTTTCAGTACTTTACAGTAGCAATCATATATATATAAAAACTATTGTCTGTCTGTCTGTAATGCTTTATTCGCACTCTGAATGGTTGTTTGAAACAACCAGTTGGAATGCTCCAAGAGCATTCTAGACAGGAGGTGGCAGTGGTGGCATGTCGCCATGATAGTGGCGATGGAGTGAACAGAGTAGGGGGCGAGGCCAGCAGTTCTGGCCTCCCCCCCCCCAACCCTGCTCCTTGGAGGTGGGTGGGGCACAGGGTGCTGGCTGCGCAGTGCTGGTCTCACCCCCCCCACCACACGCACAGCGGAGGGCCACCGTGACAGCGGGAACTGGGGCTGGAGCAGGGGGGCACTGCCGCTGCTGCAGGCAACCTTCCCCCCCCCCCAATTCCTAGGAGGCAGCAGCAGCACTGTGTTGAACGGCTGGGGGGGGGCACACGGGCCCACACCTGAAGTAGTGGGGGGGATTGTGGAGGAACCGGAATAAAAACGGCAGGGGGGCGTGGGCCTGGACCTAAAGTGGTGGGAAGGGGGGAAGCTGGAACCTGACCCAAGGGTGGGGAGAAATGGTCCTGGTCCTGGTCCTGGCCCTGAATGGAGGGGGGATGTGGGTGTCAATGTGGGCTTCTGTCCCTGCCTGCCATGCCCTCCGCCCCCGCCCTCTGTCCTGCTTGATGGGCAATTTGCTAGTATTAGACATAAAGAAGCAAGGACAGAACATCATGTTAGTGACTTCCTTGCCAGTGTAAATTCAAATAATTTGGGCATTTCTGTCATGTTAGCATGTAATTTTATGTGTTTGTGTAGTACCTTGGTTCTCTGGGTATTATTCCAGAAAAAAATGTAGCTTAGATTTTGTTTTACGTTTTGGATGGAGTATCAGAAACCCAATTGAATTAGTATGCAATTTAATGATGATTTTGTTATTTTGTTAAACTTTTGATATTGATAAATATACTAATACCTTTATAATACTCATTGCCGCTCTGTCAATCCGGTTGTTATCAATCTGCTGTTTCTTGTTTTGATCTATTTTTATTATCTGTTTCCAGGTGAATCAAGACTTACAGAAGAAGGACCTGTGTAACTTGCAATCATGCCATTCCCCTTTGGCAAGTCCCACAAGTCTCCTGCAGACATAGTGAAGAACCTGAAGGACAGTATGGCAGTACTAGAAAAGCAAGATATCTCTGACAAAAAGGCTGAAAAGGTAGGGTTTTTTTTAATAGGATTTCATCTTTTGCTAAATTTTACATTTCCTTTTCACAACTATAGGTTTTATTCAGTCATATATGGCTTAACTATTATTTATATGGCTTAAATATTATTTCCCTTCCTTTACTAAAGAATAATTGTGTTATCTTTTGCACTTGTGCTTTCACGTTATTTGGTCGTGGATTCTGATGCCACTGGCAGTTGATATGTTCAAAATTAATACTTTTCTAAATGTACAAAAGGAAACAATTTGATGGACTTATTACAGTTGTAACTTTCATGAAGAAGAGTCGCACTGTTAGTCTATTGGAAGAAACTTTTGTGGAGAAGGGGATAATTCAATACTTGTGGCCCAATATCTCTTCCCACAGAGCAGTGACTGTTACTTAGAAGCCACTCCAGGAATACAGACATGCTGCCGAAAAATAGATAACAGCATTAGCCTGGCTATTAAGACAGACATTCAAAAAGCCTGAGCCTGAATTGATTCTACCTTTGCAAGTTAGTCTAACCTGGCTAGGCTGAACCAGTTTGTAACCATACAGACATTCTCTCTGGACTGAGGAAATTCAGGTACATGCCTGCAGTGGCTCAGGGTAGAAGCCGGGGTTGCTAGAGCAGCTCTCCCTCCCCTTGCACACTGCTGCACTATGGGGGGCCTTGGCCAGGCCCTGGCAGGAGGCACTGAATAGGGAGCTCTGCCTACACCCTCCCAGGCTTTTCCCCACTGGCTGCTCAAGGGGTGGGAGTGTTGCCAGATTTCAGCCCCAGGTTAGCACTCTGAGGCAAGGGGAAGCGTCCAGTGCATGCACCTGTTGATGATATGGAGCTTTTCAATCTCCCTCCGTGCTTCTTTATACTGTATGCAGCAAACTGACAGGCAAGCAAGCCAGCAGGGGGCTGATAACAGTGTTTATCACACCATCAGCAAAACAGTAGCCTCTTTCCATTAGTTCATACTCTTCTTAAACAGCTTTTTTCTGAGGGATGTTACCAGCTGACCTGTTGCTTAGCTCCCAAAAGCCACTGTTCTGTCTGGCTGTCCCAGTGAAATTGGAGATGCGCGCACAGACAGCATTAACTAGTGTACCACAAGGCTAGGGTCTGTGGGGATGGGGTCTGTGCAGTGGGAGAGGATCCCTGCTTGAGCAGCAAGTTGTGGGGGTAGAGCAGGGAGAAGCCAGGCAAACCCTGCTGTACCTGTAGTCTCTGCCGGAGCTTTGCCAGGGAGCAGAAGGGAGGGGCCAGCTCTGCTGTTTGGAGCAGAGTGGCCCGCCCAGCCCAGAGAACATGCCGGGATGCTGGGAGAGTCTGGTTTAACTTAAACCAGCAAGGGATCTGGGACAGACATTGCATAAACCGGTTTGACCCAAATCAGTTAAATCTGATTTGGGTCGAACCCAAACCCTACATTCAGTCAGGTTTATCTCAAACCAGTTTCAACCATTTTCAAACTGGTTTATGTGTACTAAATGTCTGTTTTGTTATAAGTTTAGACCAGTTTCTGATCACTTGAACCGGTTTATGTGTAATGTCTGTCCCTAGCCTAAAACTCCAGATGATGAGTGAAGTTTTTATTGGAGTACAGCAATACCTAACCATGCTGGTTAGGCAACTTCCTCTGTTTAAGAAACTGCTCCAAAGTAGCCTCAAGATGTGGAATGCAATTCTTGTACCTTCATTAGACAATCACTTTATTAAGCAACTGAGTTTTGTCAGTTCCCTGAGTAAATCATTTAAGAGTTGAATGTTCATTATTAGATTATTGCTGTGCAAGGTCCCTCCTCAAGACCTATATAACTTATAAAAGTCAGCCAGTCGGTAATGTCTAGGTTGTGCATCCATGTGAAGTAGCTAGTTAAAATGGTATATGCTGTACTACGCAGATATCAGGACTTGCTGAGTTTATTAAATCACTCAGATCTGCTTTTTATCATAATGCTTTGTTTTGTTGCCAATTTCACTCATTTTCTGTCGTATATTGCATCTTGTTACAGAAAAAAAATATAAACTGTTTGTTGTAGGAACCACACAAAAATAAAATTTTAAAATGTACCGGCAGTCTACTTCCTAGCAAAATTGTATATTAACATGATTGTTTAGATTTCTGCTTGTCAAAAGATGTGTTTGTGTGATACAAGATGTTTGTATCTTCTGATGGGGGTTGGGAATGTTAAGCAAATCTGAAGATTTAAGAATGGGAGGATTAGATAAGTTTTGTTGTTTAAAACCTCAAAACATGCTAGGTTTTAAAATTCTCTCCAGATATTTATTTAAAATTATTGGTAACAATTGCTATTTTGGAACAATTTTTAAATGAATTTAAAATCACTATACTTGATAGTGTCTGGAAATGGATAATTAAGCAACATAAAGGATATAATTACAATGTATATCAGTGTTTCATATTAGATTGTAAAGAGTACAAACGTTTTGAGGCAAAAACAAATTGTTTACATTTAAAACTAAATTATGAAATGTTTAGGGGTTTACCCATTTACAGTTAAACCTAAATAGTCACATGATCAGGAACTTAATATATACATACTGTAACCTGTAATATTTTCTAAACCACATTAAACTAGCTATTTGTCTTATTTCTGGAAAACTTCCCCTCTGGACTCACTGTAGTGACTACTCAGTGACAAAGCATAAACTTCTGGCACATTGAAAGTGGTGGCTTTCAAGCTCTCTCCCATGTGTCACTTGCATCTAGCATTAAAAGAGTCTTATTTTTATATACCCTTTTCCATGTTTGAAAATGTTTATCCTAATTATTTGGTAATTAATAAATTAGTCTTCTTTTAAACAAAAGGTGATTAGTACTTTGTGGAATGCAGTGTTTAATTGTGTAGTTTAATCGTATGATGCCATGGGTTAACAGATGCATCCAAAGATGTTGGTTGCAGTAGTTCCCCAGTGTTTTATTTAGGGTTGCAGCCTTATTGGAGGGCCAGGGTTGGAGTAGGTGCTTTTCAAACACAGCTGAAGACTCTGTCCCTATTTCAAATATTTTTTTAGTCTTCTTTGAAATGAGATGTGACAAGTGCATGTAACAACACTAGGAAAGACTGAGTAGAACATGCAAGAGTAACTAGAAAAAAGCTGTATGTTAGCTATTGCACAAGGTGATACTTCCAAATTATCATATTATTTATCTCTTGTAAGTATAGTTAGATAACAGAATCATTATTGGTTGACCGTTCCTGAGTGATTCTGTGTGTTTTTAATTATTACAACTCCTATCGTAGGGAAAGAAGATGGTGAGGACCACACTTATATACTCTGAAATGTCTAGGAGAGGGAGCATTCATCAGAAAGCTATTGGAAAATATTAGCTTCATCCCTTAGGCCCACTTAGGCAGAAATATGGGCTAACAAGTTGAAAACCCATCTTGCCTTTCTTGGGGGCAGAGTATAGACAAACAAAAAATTACACCCAGTCGAAAAGAGGCAGACTTATTGCGTGACACGCTTATCTGCGCTGCTTTGTCTCACGATATACTACTAAGTGGAAATTAAATTTCAGTAATTTAGCACTTGTTTCATTCAGAAGTAAACCACCCTAGTTTAGTTTCTACTAACGGTGAGATTAAGCAGAAGCTGTGAGGATTACCACAGATCAGATGTCTGTCACTTTTTTTTTAACTTGATATAATTGTTTCATCAGCCCATATCTGGGTTCTTGCTTTGAGGGCAAAAAGTAGACCAAAAAGAGCCAGGCCTTTGTGGATATGGGGAAGCTTGGCTTCTCTTTCCGGTTACTTGGCTCTTCATCCAGGAAATAGCTGTAGAGCTGTTTCATTTGTTCCCTTTGTACCCTGGGGTGGGGAGGCAGTTCCTCATGAAAGGTGTGTTGAATGTCAAGCTTAGTTTAGTAAGGAGGTTTGAGGATGTGTAGCCACCATAAGGCTCTGTAGCAGATGTTCGAATGGAAACGTTTTGGTTTTCAAGTGTCAGTTTCTCAACCGAAAAAAAAATTATATATATCATTTTTTTGGTTGAGAAACTGACACTTGAAAATGAAAACCAAAACACGCCCCCCATATAAAGAACATTAATTGAAATTAATGAAGAACATTAATTGGATTTTTTTATGTTCATAAAAAAGAACATTAATTGAAATTCCAGTTTTCTAGAGAAAAGTCTTTGAAGACAAGTTTGATTAGGTCTACCTATCTCCCTTATCCCTGTACTAGGGCTCAGTGAAAAAAAGTCTGCATGTATATGTATCTTGAAGATGAGCATAGATGGCAAACCTTCCCTGTCCCAGCCCAAACTTTTCATTTTCTGTGCAGTATAACTTTCCAACTACCATTTTAAAAGAACTTTCATGTGCTGCTGAAAAGATTAGTTCCCTGGCTGCAAGGTGAATGGATGCAGGATAACTCAGCACCTGTCATTAGTGAAAATTACTGTTTCAGATAAAATTTGGAGTTTTCCTGCATTTCCAGAGTGGACTATACTGAATTTTTCATAAATCTCTTCTCCCAAGGAGATGCAGCAAAATCAAATTTTGTCCAGATAGTCAATGTATTATCGCTCTTTCAGTCTGTCTCCACCTTCTACTTAAGTACCTGCCAAATAACAATAACAAACACGCAGGATTAGCAGTATAGTAAATAATGTTGTCAGTTGTGTTTAATGCCGATTACTTTTTATGTTGATGGTGTCCTTATCCTTCCAGGGTTTTAACTGAATTTGTATTTTGTTGGAAATTATATATTTTTTTCTATACTGGATTTACATTTCTTAAAGATAAGCACATGCAGTTTCATATTTTACATATCCTAGAACATGCGGAATTTGAAACAAGTAAAGGAACTGAAGATCTTCCTAATCTGTACTGTATAATTTATGTGTAATGAGCGCATTATAGTTAGGGTCTACTTAACTTGAGGAGGCAGCCAGCCAGTTTCACAGGTAGATCCTGGGGCTGACTGCCATTTTCATGCGCTGAGCATGCTCTGATTGGCTATGGGGCCCTGCTGGTCT